CAGAGCAGTAACCATGGAGTACATATGTAACCTAGGGGTGGGGATTCCTGCTGGGGTTGGCTAACCTGAGGGGTGGCAATGCCCTGTGTTGTGAGGACAATATTTTGGATATAGAATTATTTTTAAGATAAATTTTTATTTCTACCTATTGTTTTCATTTCATGTACATTTCCCAATATATGCCCCTCCCTTCCCAGACTGCCATCCCTTATGACAAAGAATAAAAGAGGAAAAAAAAGTTTAGCAAAGCTAACCAACCTATGAAACAAGTTTTGCCATATTCAGAATCTGCTTCCTAAAGCTCCACAGCTCTATAAAGAAAAGGGGATCTGCCTACTGGTAGCTCTTCTTTGGGCCCAAGATTGGTCATTATGATTTCAGAGCATTCAGCTGGGATGGTTTTGTTGTTATAATTTCCATTTCCATTATTATAATCCAAGAATTCTTAACCTCTGGTCCATGAATTTATTTTTTAGAAATATTTAGAAATCTATATTTCAATATACTTTGTTTCCTTTGTAATCCTGTGCATTTTATTGTGTGCTTTTCAAAACATGATTCTGAGAAGGGGTCCAGAGTGTCACAGGGGTCCATTTAGTCACTGTATATATTGTTTTCCTGGTTCTGGTTATTTCACTTTGCATCATGTTCTATAAGTCTTCCCATGCTTCTCTATTAGTTATATTCACAATTTCTTATAACAGAGTAATATTGCACTACTTTCACACCACACATTTACAGGCTATTTCCCAATCAAGGACATTTATTTTGTTTCCAACTCTTTCCTATTACAAAAATTGCTACTAGTAAGTATTTTGGTGTATGTAGGATCTTTCTTGTCATTGACTTCCTTGGAGTATATGCCCAGCAGTAGGATTTCTGGGTCAATGAGCATGGATGTTTTACTTTTTTTTCTTTTTTGCTATAGAATTATAAGATACGACACTATAAATTCAAATTCCACAAAGGTATACATGCTAGGCTATTCTCTGAGTCCACTTTTCCCTTTAGTTTATGAAATTTGCTTTTAAAAATCTAGTGATACCAGGGCTAAAAGCTCTTGTTTATAATGAACCTTCTCAAAAATAAAGATTTGGAACAGCAATAAAATTCATTCTTTCCACATAGCCAATCTGAATGTTAGATTAAACCTAAACAAGAACAAAGCTTTTATGTGAACATTTATCTCCCACAAAAAGCAGCAGAGAGGCCAACAAAGATCAACAAATGGAACCCCCAAACTTTATATAATCTATTCAAAGATGAAGCTAATAATGGTGTGATTATAATCTTTGGGGCTTAAGAGAAGAACAGTCCTTTCTAAACTGTGCCCACATAAAGATCGCTCTTTGATTTGTGGTCACTGCTACTATTTGCAGACTGAGCTTCAAATGACTGACTTTTAAACCGCCTGGGGCTCTAGGAACCCTGATTACTCCATGCCAGACTGGTGTGTTTGCCCTGATTGTTTCCCAGAAGGCTATAGCCCTGCCACAATTTTGAATGTGGCAATGTATCCTTAAAACGCATCTTCTGCCCTCCCAACTTGTGGTTACCCTACTTTACCTCAACAGCTCACCACATGAAAGCTGTTTGGGTTTCCTTCTGTCATCTATTCAACTGCACATGTCCATTCCATTGAAGTGTCTAGGAGAGAAGCATTACTTCAATATCAGGACACTGGAAACACTATGTCACATCTGTGGTGGGAACAGCCCAGCTATCTGAGCTCAACTCTCAATTTATAGAACTTCAGCTTGGCCTAGAAAGTGATGCCATCCACTGCCAGACTCCTAAAGGACATCATTTTTCATTTTAAGTAAATGTCTATTTGCAGGACTGAATAACATAGCAAGCCCCAGGGATCCCTTAGTATTACTGTTAGGCATGTGTAAAAAGCATATTCTGTTGCTTTTGTTCAAGAACTGAAAGCTAGTCTCAACTTCTCTCTTCAAACATTTTACTTAAATCATGTCATGTCTAAATATAGGGAGCACTTTCCCCTCAAATGTGGCTTGTATAAAATCGAAGGGTAGCAAATAATCTGTGAATTTTTGACATTTCCATATATATTTAAATTTTTTTTCAATGAACAAAATCTATCTTCTCTCCCTTCTGCCCCTCCCCCATTGGGAAAAAAAAAGAAAAAGAAAACCCTTGTAACAAATTTGCATAGTCAAGCAAAACTAATTTCCTGAATTAGCCATGTCCAAAAAAAAATATAGGTCTCAATCCTGAGTCCATCATGGCTCTGTCAGGAGTGTGGGTAGCATTCTAAGTCCTCTGGATTCATAACTGTTCAGAGTTTTTAAAATCTTCAGAAATTGTTGGCTTTATAATGCTGTCTGTCCCTGGGAAAAAATTGTTCTCCTTGTTCTACTCGCTTTACTTTGTATGAGTATAAACAAGCCTTCCCAGGTTTCTCTGAAACTGTCCCCTTTACCTTTTCTTATAGCACAATAATATTTCATTACATGCATATTTCATTTCATTTCATTACATATCATAGTTTGGTCAACTATTCCCCAATTGAGGTACCTCCTCCCTTGCCATCATTAAAAGCTGCTATAAATATTTTTGTCCATCCACATGGGTCCTTTCCTTTCTTTGTTCTCTTTGGGGTATAGGTCTAGTAGTGGTAATGATGGGTCAAAGGATAAGCACAGTTTAGCAACTTTTTGGGCATAGTTCCAAATTGTTTTCCAGCATGGCTGGACCAATTCTCAGCTCAACCAAGAACACATTTTTTTTCTCATATATTTTAGATACCACGTTTTCATTGCTCCTATTTGCCATAAAGAGTTTCCCTAATCTGTAATTCTCCCTTTGATTTTTTTTTAATAGGGTCAAGCACTTCTAGCTTGTTCCTAACAATTATCTTTATTTGTGGAATTAAAAAAAAAGTAATTTTTCAGAATTGAGATAAATAATGTAATTTTTTTGTTTTATAGTTCACTTTTTATGTTTAAGTCTGTTGTTGAATCAAAATTTACTGGGATATAGGGTGAAAGTGTGAACCCAAATGTCTTTCCTTCCAAATAGCCAACCAGTTTTCCCAAACACATTTGCTAAATACTGAATCCTTTCCCCAGTTTTCATTTTCTATAGTATGTTTTGATTTAATAGTTTATGAATTCCCTTCTAGTTTACCAGCGACTCTAAACTGAGACCAAACCAGATTAAGTAGGAGAAATAGAAGCACCTTTTAGTTCTCAAATAGACTGTAATTTTAGGTAGCTATTTACAATCCATTTGCACATATATATTCTAACACTGACTTTTCCCAAAGGGAGCCACACCCTGAAGAGGAAAAGCAAATTTCTCCCACTGAAAAAAAACAAAAACAAAAACAAAAACAAAAAAAAAAAGACCCCAACAACAAACAAAACCTCAGTTAAGTCACAAAGCCCATTACAACGGATTCCAATTTTTTTCCAGTGACCTGGAATATTGCTTCATTGAATATTACTTGAAATAATTAGGTTGGGTTTTTACATATAAGCCAAATGTGGAGGGTTAATATTTTTCTAGTCACCATACGATAATTGTTGTCATACACATTCAAATACTTATTTGAATATATACTTTATTCCTGTCCACCCACATTCCACCCCCAAAGCCAAAATAAGGTTATCTCTTAAATGTTTGGTTGGTGTTATAAAAAAAAAAAACATTTTTTTTTGCGTTAATGACCCCAAAGACAGCAAATATGTTCATATTGTTGTCAATGGCAGAGCTTAAGAACCAAAATTACTGAAAATAGGACCTCAATCTTAGAAGGTCTGAATGTACGGTGAGCCATTTGAATCTAAATAATAAGTTATTTAAAAAAACCCTGGTAATCATGTGTCTATTGTTAATGACATAAGCTTATGAATATCGAGAGGGGGAAGGGGAAAGAAAAGGGGTCCATAATTTGCTCCACCTGTAAAAATGATTTTAAACACTATCTGACGAGCCACATTGTCTAAGTTACTCAGTGATGTCCAGCATCTAAGAACACGTGGTAAATATTAACAGGCATAGTCCTAGCCTACTAAAAAAAAAATTAAAAAAACAAACTAAAAACTAATTGCCCACTAGCCGTCTTCTGTTAGAATATCAAGAGAAATCTGTAACTGCAATAAGGCCAAAGGCGCGTCAGGGCGAAGTGTGATGGCAGGAGGATCTCTTGAAAATATTGATAATCGGTTTGTGGGGCAGGATGGCAATTTCCAGGGCATGGGAATTCGAGCTAAGCCAAAGGATACGTGGCTGACAGGCGTGTGAAGGAGAACTAGGAAGGCAATTCCAGGCTAGCGAGCCAAGGAAAATTTCCCACACGTTTCGGGACTGGGGAGGGGGAAGGATGAGTTGAGAATCAAAGATCCGAATGCTTAACGTGTTTCGGGTAACTTTGGAAAAGAACAAAAGTCTCTTAGGGTCAGGAGAAAGACACCAAAGGGTCAAGTTCAGATACTCTGACCCGTAGCGGCTGGCCTACTTTCCCCCAGGGCAGGAATAGTCAAGTCTTGAGGCTCCCCCGCTGGGGGTGAAAAAACCAGAGCCTGCCACTGACCCCCCCCTCCCCTCCCCCTCCCCCTCCCTCTCCCCCTCCCCTCTCCCTCAGGAGCAAGCGCGAGGGAATTGCCCGTAACCGGAAAGGACTTAGCAACGCCGCGGCGAAGGTAACTAAGCCGGAAAGCAAAAGAAGGAATGAAGTCATCGAGTTCTAAGGGTCGTTGCCAGAGCGTCGCATACCATAGAGACGGCATCAACATTGTTCATTCGCCTCTCTTCTGGAAGGACAGCGGAGGCACTTCTTCCGGCGGAAAGAGGCCTCTCGGAGGGGGATTGCTCGCCTCTTGTGGTCGACTGTTAGAACTGCGGCTTCGCCCTTCCCACAGCCGCAGCTATCCCCCTCCCTTCCTGCTCCTCCCTCCCACTCCCCGCCCGACCGCCCGCCTGCCCGCTTGCCTGCCTCCCTCTCTCTCACAGCCTCCCTCCCCCGCCCTCTTCGCACCGCTCTGCTCCTCCCTCTTCTTCTCTCTCCTTCCTTCTCCGCCTCCTCAGCGCTCGGGCTAGAATATCTATGGGGCGAAACGTGATGCGATGAATCTGAGAGAGACCGAAACTGGGACGCGGAACGCGGCGGAAGCGGCGAGACGCCGGGGCCGGGTCATGGGGGCTTCGCCACAATAGAGGCGCCCCCTCCCCCCTCGGAGCGAACTCCCCCAAATCCCCTGGTCACAGGATGGCGGCGGAGGCAGCGGCCCCGTCTCAGATCGAAGCCGGTGGGTAGCCTGGCCGTGCCAAGCAGGGGGCTCCGGGGCCGGGGGGCGGCGGCAAGGGCTAGGGGTGTCCGCGGCTCTCAAACCGCTTCTCTCTCCTCTCGCTTCCCCCTTTCCCCCGGCTCCCCTCTGCAGAACTGTATTACCTGATCGCCAGGTTCCTGCAGTCCGGACCCTGCAATAAATCTGCTCAGGTGAGGAGCCGCGGATTGCTTGGCTGACTGAGGGGTGGCGAGGGTCGCGGCGGGGTGCTGAGGGTCGCGGGCGGCCCGGGGCAACGGGGCGACGGCCGAACGGGCTGCCGGCCTGGGCCCCCCGGAGCTGTTGCGGGTGGCGCCGCCGCCGCCAACGTTCGAAGGGTCAGGGAAAGCGGCCGGGGCGGGCTGGGGGATCGGCGCGGCGCGAGGCGACGCGACGCGACGCGGACTCTGCACCGTGCGGGGCATCGGGCGGTGTGGTGCGGTGCGGTCTGGTACGGTACGGTAAGGTAAACCGCCGCCGCCGCGCTTCGCTCCCTCGCGCTTCGCTCCCTCACGCTCCGCGTTTCTGTGTTTCTCGCTCCAGGTGCTAGTGGAGGAGCTGGAGGAGCATCAGGTACGGCGTGGAGCGGGGAACCCCTGGGTGCGGGGAATTGGGGGAGTAGCGGCGGGTGCGGGGAGCCGGGCGAGGGGGAGGCAGGAGCGGCTTGGGCCGGGCCGGGGCGGGTTGGGCGGGGAGGGCCGGGCCGGACCGGACCGGACCGGGGCGGGGGAGGCCGGGCTCTCTAACCCCCGCTGGCTGCCTTGTCACTAAAGTGAAGCCCGAGGAACTCCGTAGCCCGTGCCCCCGCCGGCGGCGGCCGGCGCTGGGGACCGTCCTGCCGAAGCGCTGTCCCCGAGCGGGGACCCGGCAGGTCACCGACCCCGGAATGAAGGGCGGGAGGTAGCGGGGCCAGGGACGGGCATGGGCGCGCGGCCGCAGCCGCAGACTCCCCCTGAGCGTCTGTCCCGTCCGGTCCCGTCCCCCCCCCTTTCTCTCCCTCCCGCCCCTTAGCTGATCCCGAGGCGTCTGGATTGGGAGGGGAGAGAGCATCAGAGAAGCTTCGAAGATCTGGTAAGTAAAGTTTGCTCCTCTAACTTACCCCAACTCTCGCTTGCCCTTCTGGGCGCTCCCCTGGGTCCCCTGCAGCAGCCCCCGGGGTGGCACGGCACGGCACGGCACGCCTGGGCTCCAGCCCCCGACTGACCTCCGCTCCACCCCGAACCTCGAGCTGCCCCTTTCCCCCCTGCCCGGTCTCCTCTGCCCCCTCCCCCGACCTCCCGGGAGGCTGAGAGAAGAAGCCGGCCTATGGGGCCCCCCCTCCCCTCCCCCCTGTCGCCGCGCCTGTGGTGCCCCCCATCCCCCCCAAGCTTTGTGTGAGAGCTCGGCTGCTTATGGGGGACGGCAGCTTCGGTGTCGTGAGTGTGCTACCAACATTGGGGAAGGCCCTTTGTGGGGGGGGGGGAGAAGGAGAAAAACCAGAGGGTTATCTCGGGGCACGTACCAAGGACTGACGCTGGCCAATGGCAGCGCCGCTAACATGCTCCAGTTTCGGATCAGTGGAAGAAAACTGTTTCCTGGTTGGCCCTGACTTGAAATACGGGAACTGAGGCCAGCCTTTAGTCCCTTTGGACTAAGGTGGGGGGGGGGGAGTGAGTCGAGTAAGGGGGGGGGGACAGTGAGGAGGGGGGGAGGACAACGACACAATTAAAAATACTAGGGCAGAAGAGCAATTCCCGAAAATTCCTCCTTTTAGAGGACTGACCACAACCTATGGTTTTCTATGTGTTAAATCTGTTAGGAAAAGGAACTACTCAGATCATCTATAAATAATGCTTGCATGACTCTATTTCTCATCAAAATGGTAATGTGTACGTTAGCTTTTTTGTGACTTGTCAAAACATGAATTTACATTCCTAAGGAGATGGTATATGGTAAATATAATTTAGATTTTGACAAAGGTCCAAATATATTAGACTCTTCATGTTCTTTCTCACAATCTGTCTTCCGCTGTACATGTACCTATTTGTTTTCTTCTGTTCCCAGTGGACAAGAAGAAGAGATTTCAATTTCCTTCTCTTGATTTAACAAACTATTGGTATAGTAGGGAGGGAGGGCAAGTGAGATGGTGTGTTTTGAGGTTTCAAAAATCAAAGTAATCTTTAAATAAGATATAAATTAGAGGAGAAAAAGATGAGCAGAAACAAAATCTCAAGGGGAGGTTAGGTTAAGTCTGAAGTAGGAAGAAAAAGATGAAAAGTTCTGTAGTTGCCAAAATTAATTGTCCTTAGCTAAAAAATTGATAGTGAGCATATTCTCTATCAAGTTATGATGAAGCTGTATCAACCATTTCCAAATATTTTGGCAGATTTTTTTTTCTTGTAACTTTGAAGGTAAGAGATAGTATTCCTTTTGACTGGCAAGTTCTACTTTTTAAGTCATTAAAAAACAATTTAAAACTCTGAAGTGAATGTTATTTAAATTGAATGATTAGAAACAATTAGTACATTCAGAGTTACTAAATTTTTGGTTTGACTTTTTCTTGTTCTGCTGCTTTTTGTCTCCTGCTAGAAATTAACAAAGAAAAATCGCCTAGGAGTAATTTAATATTTTTAAACTTTCTTTTTTGTACCTTGCTTTTAAATTATTTAGACTAGTTGTAGTGGTGGCTTTGAAGGCAGGTGATTTTTCACGGCACTATGTGTTGAAAACACTTTTTGTTGAAAGTGTTGCTGATTGCCCCCATTGGTATTGGACATTTCCCTAAAACAGTTCATTTTGAACTAGTGGTTTAGGACACTTTTTGTTAACCATAACATTTTTTGAAGCTGATTCCGCTTATGTCTTCAAAGAGAGGAATAAGGTAGGGCAGGGCTGGGACAGAATTTAAACGGGAGTAAACTTCCTGACCCAGAAGGCCCTGCGGTGTTAGTCAACTAGATTGCTGACTAATACTTCATATTTGAGCAGTGATTTGAGTGACATAGTACTAGGACACATCAGACAATAGAACAGTTTTATTTTATCTGGAGTATGTCACATGCATTAATTTTTTGAAACAAAGATTTATTGGGAGGAGGAGGAACTCAGGAAAAAAAACCCAAGAATAAAACAAATGTATAAAGAAGAGGTCAAAGAATTTTCACCAAGAACTCAATATTCCTTTGTAAGATTGGTGACACTGTTTTGTTTATAACAAAGCATATGACAAACCTTATACTTTCATTGTTCCCACTTTAACTATTGACTGTGATTTGATTATGAAGACTACTAAAATAAACATAATAGGATCAGAGATTAACAGCTGGAAGGAAACCTTTAGAGGTCACCAATCCCCTCTCATTTTAGAGATATGGGAACTGAAGTCCACAGTGTTTTAACTGGCCTGCCCAAGGTTTCACAGAACTCAAACCCCAGCTTTCTGACCTTGAATTGACTTCGAATATAGCAGTCTTTGCACTGTACAAGGCTGCCAAGAGAACAAATTGGGATGTCTGGTCTTCCTTTCCTTTGCTGCATCTATTCCCTTGTTTCTAGCTTTGCGGATTTGTAATAAGCTGCTAACTTAGTGTTTTACTCCTAATTTGCAACCCAGGGAGGGTAGTATGGTTTTTGTTAAAGCCAAGATCACATCTGGGTCCGAACTATCTATTTAAAAAATAAGTCTGTACCATGGGATATTGGGGCTCAGACAACAAGTAATGAGATTTTTGAATGTGACTTTCAAAGTAAGTGTACTTTGTCTTCAGAATCCATGGGTATTGAGAAAGGGGCTCTTCTACCCATTAGGAAAATGTTTTTGAAATAGTGGTGATAATTTTATTTCAAAAGTTTGATGCAGGTATTTTTATTTCTGTACTTACTGCTCCTTACTGTTGTTGAGAACGTAAATTAAAGTGAAGTGTTTTTTTTAAAATAATTATCATCAGGTAGATAATTTAAAATAGTTCCAGACAAAAACCCTAGATTTTATTTGGGAACACTGAAAGCAAAGGTAGCTGCCTGCTAATAAGAGTAACAAAAATAATTTTGAAAAGGTATTTTTATTTAAAAAAAAAAGATTAGAGAATACATGTTTAAAAATGGCATTTTTTAAAAATCTGAGAGATTTTAAATCTTAAAGCAGTTTCAAGGGAATAACACAAGAGGAGTTTGGATGGTAAACGGCAGATTTGCTGTGGTTTGTTAGAATATTTGCATTTATTCAGCACCAATTGATTTTCATTATTTGGATGAAGGTAACTACATGGCTCTAATTTTATATCAGTAAGGAACCATGGCAGGGTTACAGAGGTTTATTTCTTCCCTGCCCTCAGGCTATTTGTTCATGCAACCTTAGAATAAACTTGCAAAGACCACCATGTAGTTACTAGCATCTGAATTCTAGACTGTGTGCTTGTAAACCCTTTTTTTTAAAACTCTTGTTTAGCTTCAATTGTTACCTTTGGCTCACATTGTTTAGTGGAACAGGCAAGTGATAGTCAAGAGTGGAGTGGTTTTATGTGTAAATGTAGAAACACTTTAAGCTGTGTGTTTTCTTAACTACCATGTGTACACACAGTTGTAGTGAGAGAGAACTGTGTCTTTTCTGGAGACTGCATTACGTTAGAACAAAAAAGAACTGCATGAGCTGTCAGTTTGGCCATGAGTGGCATAGAACAATAACCATTGGGTGGAGTGGTAAGGCCCAGGCTGAGGCCTGTAAGCATTGTGACATGCAGTGCAGTGCTGGACGGCTCATATTCCTTCTTACTAACTTTCTGGATTCACATGTAGGCACATGCTTTCTATGGTGCTTTGCCTTTAGTTTTGTTAGGTCTATTCTTGAAGATTTTTGGATGTATAATATCTCTAGCCAATGACTAACCTGTTTTTAAAGGTCTTCGGCTTGTACAGTCATAGGATTATAGGGTTAGAGCAGGGCTTCTCAGGTCATCTAGTCCAACCCCATCATTGGACACATGAATAAACTGAGGCCCAGAAAGGTGACTCTTTCAAGGTCATACAGATATTAAATATCAGAGCGCTTGAGTTTGAATCTGATTTAGCATTAAGCTTGACTCTCAAGATTCAGTACAATGGCTAAGAGCTGTTCTTAGTCTTTAAAAAAAGACAAAAAAAAAAAAGAAAACCAACCCTTACCCCTCCTTTTCATGTTAAAAATTCAGTCTTTATGGTTGTAGTAGGTATGTATGTAGGTAGTGGAATCAAATTTCCATAAGGTTCCAGCATACTGATCTCTTCTGAGATGCTACTCCTCACCACTCATTTCTCACTTCCCAATATTGCTTGTCTCCTCCCCAAATGTCCCACTCTGCCTTGTTCTGCCTTGTGGGGATGCAATATAATGGTGTGAAAAGAGCCCTGCTCTGAATGTTTGGGAACGCAAGATGTGGCTTTGAATCCTGTTTCAGGGTTACCTGGTTGACCTTGAGTAAGTTACTTCTCCTCTGAGCCTTCTTCATCTCTAAGATAAAAGAGTTTTTTTTTTTAAAATAGATTACTTTTAGAATTCCTTTCTAATCTAAGATGCTCTCATCTCAAGGTGTGTTGTAGCCTAGGGGTCCAAATGCCAGCAGACCACCACAACCTGAGGTCTGATTCTGTCATCTCAGTACTAGTGTAACCAAAGTTTGTCAGAGGTGCATTAAAAGGGTTAGTTCTTGGAAGATACCTCTTTTGAGGTTTGGGAGGCAGTTGGGCACAGACTCAAGAGGATCTTCTGTTAATGATAATTCAGTGTGTTAGTACTTTCCAAAGAACTTGAAAGACAGCAATCCTGTGATTTAGGTTTTGTAAGAATTCTCCCCATTTTTTACTTACTGGAAATTGAAGCTCAGCAGAATGAAATTATTTGCCCTGAGGTATGTGACTACTGAATTTTAGGGCCAGGATTTCAGCTCAAGTCTCCTTCCCTGCCTACACGGTCACGGATCCCTGATGTTTTGAAGTCATGTTAACCTCAAACTGCTGACCAGGAGTTTAAAACCATAGTGGGTTGAGCCAGTGGGCTAGTTGGGCTCACAGAAAAGGAACAAGGCCTGATGTTAGCCTGGTGGTCACATCCAAGGACTAAAGAATAAATACTCTCTTCCGTCCCTTTTGAGAAGGGAGGTGGAGAAGGCCACCATTTGACACACAGACACAGACATTTGTAGAACGATACTATACGTACCTCTATTTATCGATTCTTTCTCTGGAGGTGGAAAGCACTCTCCTTCATAGCCCCTTTGTAGTTGATTTCAGTATTTATAATACTCATATAACTTAGTCTTTCAAGTTAGTATCTTAATTGTAGTTTTGGAAGGGACGGATGTTCGAATCCAACCCCCCCTGAGTCTACACAGGCCTGGAAAGATGAAGAGTGATTGAGTCAGGAGAGCCTTGGTCCTCTGGTTGCAAATCCAGTACCATTTCCACTAGACCCTGGTACCTACCTAGCCTCGTCCCTTCCCAATAGCATTTATCTACAGGCAGTATTGATTTGATTTTCTTAGCTCTGTAAGTACTATTATGTGATTGTATGTTGGTCTGTGGTTCCTTTCTTGGTGACCCTTTTAGGACAGAGGTGGCAGGCTCAATTTCATTAGCTCTCTGGATAATATTGTCCTTGGTCATTGGCTCACCAAATGCTTAATCATCTTCCTTCTTCCTCTGGGTTTCTTTTATTTTCCCATCCATAGAAAAGTTTCTTTAAATTCAAGAATAGAGAACAGTTGGAAAGCCAATGAAGATGGCTTTTGGCATTTCAGAGGTCAGCAACTAGATTATTTATTGCTCCAAGTAACAGTAGTGACCACCACTTCAGAGCTGATTTTTCTCTGTTCCCTGTGCATTTCTCTGTGACTGCCTTTGCTTCATCTTGTGTTTTCCTCATCCCCTCTCTATGTAATTGGCTAGGGTATGGATATTAATCTTATTTGAATATTTTGCTTTTTGTTTTTTCAGTAGAAAAATTTCTCAAGTTTTTTTTCTTAAATCAATATAAGAAATTAAAATTCGGTTAGTTTAACCTTTTATATGTTCTGCCCTGCCCCCAAACAGTAGCTTAGCTGTTCATGTTCTTGTAGTTTGATTTTTTTTCCCCTCTTTGCAGGAACTTTTGCCAAGGCCTCCGTTTTATGGGGTGTGTCCAGGAGTTTCACTCTATCTTGAGATGCCATTAGTGTTATTGAAGGCTTTTAAGGACCATCTTATACTGTTTTTTTGAAATCCCTCACTTCATACTGTTAATCTGAAGCCTGGTGGCCAGGTTAAAAAAAAAAAGTCTGTATGGCTGCTGAAGTCCCAACTGCCTGACAATTCCAAATGGAGCATTATTTGAGGGGTCATCACCCCCCCCCACCCCCAAGCTGCTCGCCTTCCAGTGGGCCTTCCATGATTCTGATGGGTTAGGCATCTAGAAAATACTTTGCTTTTGTTTTCTAGGTCAGCCAACAATTTTCAAGGAAGCTTAAAAATCTAGAGTTACTTTGAGATGACCAACTATCTTAAAAGTCACCATTTTAGAAAGCTACAAGAATATAAAGACTAGTTTAATGGTTGGAGAGGCAGCAAGATTTCTTGGACAGGGTAATAGATTTGGAGTCAGAAGACCTGGGTTCAGATCCCTGCTCTGACCTTTAACCTTCTCAATCTGTTGTTCACTGAAATCAGGAGGGCCAGAAGAGATAGGCTCCATTCCAGCATCAAATCCAATTACTAGATGGGATTCCTTAGAACTGGGCAAGTCTGGGTTCCTCAGCTTGTTAGCTGTGACAAATCACCTTTCAGAGCCTCTGTTTCCCCTAAACGGGAATCATTTGTGAAGTCAGGAGCCTCAAATGCAAGAGCTAATGTGTTGATGGAGCCTCTGCTTTTGTTATATCTCCAAAATTCCTTTGAAGGCTATTCTTATATGTAGGTGGGTATACTGTGGAACAAAAATGAAACTTTGTCAAGTAGGCATGGTATAGTACTCTACTTTGCTTATACATGCTGTTTTTTCACTTGTAGATCTCAAAGCACTTACCTGCATCTGCGAACTGTAGTTTTCCAGAGAGAAAACAGTAGGGCTAAATGACTAATCCCTGTAAATATATTTTAAGCAATAACTTTTTAACTAATGTTACTGGTTTTCTCCCCCCACCCCCCGTTGTGATTTGGATTCAGGGGGGAAACCAGATGTCATTTTATAGCAGAAAAGAAACTATGAGGTACTTGGAATTGATAGCCAGAAGGAACCATACTTAAATACTACTCAGTCCAACCTCTTCTTTATGGGGAAGTGGTGGCCCAGTGAGGTAAAGGGACTTGATTAAGGTCATAAAACTAAGAGGTAGCAGAGCCCCCAAGATTTGAACTGAAGTTTTCTAATTCCAAGTCCTTGATCACTTGTCAGCAGCCCTGGGCAGAGGGATTGTGGGGTTCATATCCCTCACAATTCTTGAATAAAGATGAAGGCTGGATTCTCCAAGAAAGAATGCTTTTCCTGCTATACTGAAGTCCACATGCAGTACTATTTGGAAAAGTGTTGCTGTGGTTCCTTGCTGAAGTCAAATCAGCAGTCATTTAGTATAAGCCAGACACTGCTAAACTATGGGGCTACAAAGATTTTCTGAGGTAGAGATGTGTTGATGGCATCTAAATAAAAAGTGTACAGTTAACAATTGGGCAGGTGATTTAAAAGACATTTAAAAATCAGTTGGATCAGTATTGATGTCCATATATGTTCATTTAAAATTCCTAAATTGTTAGCTTTAGCCAAATTTTGTCATTTACTCATTGTCTGTAAATTCCTTATTTAAAAAATGGTTCTTTTCTTCATTAGAAAGCATTACAGCTTTTTTTTGCTAACTTCCAAACATTTTTGTATGTTGTATTGTTGTTGTTTTAGGTGACGGCCAATGCACACATTCCTCCAGACTACCTCCTTAAAATTTGTGAGCGGATTGGTCCCCTTTTGGACAGAGAGATACCTCAGAGCGTTCCTGGGGTACAGACTTTGCTAGGCGTTGGCCGGCAGTCTTTGTTGAGAGGAGCAAAAGGTAAGGCTTGCCTAGCCTCTGGGCAGGAGAGGGGGAGAATGTGAAAGGTGATTAAGACTTGAGAGATAAATGGCATATCTTGTTGATATTCTTGGGTCCTGGATAATGAAGGGAAGTGCTTTGGTTAGTTTGCTAGTGCAAGTAGTTTTGACCGGGGGAAAGTAAGGAGCATGTCATCTTTGCAGACAGAAGAATGAAATTTGCTAAGCTCTGGGGAGAGACTCGTCTCAGTGACAGGAGCTAGCCTCACTCCAGTAGCAAAGCTTCAGACCTCGAATGCTGGATGCTACCGTTCTGCCTCTGCTTTGCCTGGGACTGACTGGTATTTATTTCTAATCCCAGTGTGATGAAGTTTGCAGTTTTTCAGAAATTTAGATGCTTAACATATACACATATACTTAGAGTTTTAGATTTCAGTCAGTAAATATTGAAGTACCTTTTATGTACCAGGTACTGGGGATGCAAAAAGAGACAAATCTTTTCATTTTTAAAGAGCCGAAAGTTATTTGTCGTTGAAGTCTTGTAGTGAAAATACAGACACCAAAGCTCTGGACTAAATGTTGGTCTTTTTGCAGACTGCAGGAGTGCACTGTGGAATGTATCTGCTCTTGCAGCTCTCCACCGAGGCAGACCTCCAGAGCTACCGGCAGGCTATATGAGAGCCCCGAATGTTGGTAAGTGGTGGATGTGAGAGTGCCATTTCCCGTCCTCCTTGTAAATCTCAAATAGTTAGAAGAATTACATTGACCACAGAGACCAAGTGCTGACATTCTCTGGCTTCTTAGCGTATCTCCCCATTCTCAAAGCTTTTACCAGTGAAGTTCAGTCACGCAGTTTTCAACATAACGTTTATTAGGTGCCTGTGTGGCTCTGGGGTTAGAAACAATGAAACTCCCTCACCCTCAGAGCTCACGTTCTATGGGGGAATTGAGTCATTCTCAGTTGAAGCACTTTCTTTTTCACATATGCATGTGTGAAACCTGGATGTTGGTTTAAGTACTTATTTATGCATAGAGATTCCAAATGCTTTACTGTCATTGAAATAAAGAAAATGAAAGTGCATTCGGTTCCTAGTCCTCTTTACTAAACGCATTCCTTTTTTGTTTCTTTGTTTAAAGGATCCCATGCCCCTTGCTAAATTGTTTTTACAAGTAAAAGCCAAAAGTTGTGAAAATTTTGGAAATGGTCATTTTGGTTTAGGTTGTTTCTAGAAGTTTGAACAGGGGCATACTTTTGCCGAGTCTAAGGAAGTCAGATTTTACAAGTCATTTCATTATGTGAGTCTATAGACTATAGTCTTCTGTCATTTTGCCAGTGAGAACTTTTCTGTGTGTGAGTGAATGAACAGTTTCTAAGTAATGCTCATTCATTTTTCAGTTTTTGTTTAGCTTTGGACTTGGTACAGAGCATTTGATTTGTAGCTAAACAGATGTCTTGTATGTGCTACCCAACCTCATCCTCTCAGTGATCTAGGATTCTTATTTCAGTGCTACCACCTGAGGGTGAATAAAGCCTGGCTTATCTTTGGAAGGCTTTGTTTACCTAACTGGGTCCTGACCTTTCCCTTTTCCCTTTTCCTCTGCTTTTCCTATTGGTACCTTTTTTTTTTTCTTACTGTGTCCATTTTAGGACTTCACAAATACAGATGGTTCTCTTATACAGCTAACTTTACTACTGTGTGATGAAACTTGGATGTAAAAACTGTATATAGTTGAGGTGTGTTACAAATATAGTTAACTATAGCTAGCCTTGAAGAAATTTCAAGCACTAATCAGTTAGAATAGTAACAGGTGTTTCCTGTTGTCAGCAGGTGGGCCCTCCTCCCTATTCCTCACTTGGTAGGCTTTTGGCTAATCAAATCTATTGATACCCTCCCAAGCTGTTGTCTCTGTCTTTTCTCTCTTGGCCTGTGACATTGGCCCTAATCTTCACAGTTAACTAGCTTCTTTAAATCTGTCATAATTGATTCTCTTATCTCTTTATTTTCTTTTCTACCAAGCTTTGACACTCTACTCCCCCCTTCCCCCAACACACAACTGTACTTCCAGAGTCACCATTTTTCATGTATTTATTTTTTATAAGCCCCATACTCAAAGTCAAGCAGAATCAAGAAGAAAGGTTTGACTTAAGATGTTTTTACACCATCTTCCCTCCGTGAGCACATTACCAGTGGTTTCAAGTTACACCCTTCTCCCAGCCCTACCCTACCTTCCTCAAATATTCTTTGGGTCACCAAGAGGAGATCCATTTATTTTGTATTTAATAAAGAGAAGGAGGTCCTTTTAGAACGTTTGACTTAGGGCCAAAACTTTTATCTTGTGACTCTGGTTAGTGTGTTCATTTTTGAAGGGGGAAGGAATATTTCCTTAATATCTTTCCTAATGCCCTTTCCTGCTAGTACTGAAAGGGAAGGTCTGGCTTAGAATCAACAGTTAAAAAGAATTTTAGGGTCTAGCTAGTCTCCATTTTACAAATGTGGAAATTTTCAGTTTGAAGGAAGTGTGGTGATGAACACTGAGTCAGGTAGAGGCAGTGATGACCCTCGTCCTGATTCAGAGTCCATTTTGGGGGGACTCCCTACTGATTTCCTAGTTTTCTGGGAGTCTCCATGGCCTGATGAGAGAACCCTGGTGGGACTACTCAGAATAAGCGGCTCTACCACAGTAATGAATTTCAGGGGGACCTGGCCACTCTCTTTTCAGTCATCTCTAGTTCTCTGTAGGCAGATCTGTCTGCGTCCCCATACTTTACCTTTAAATGTGAGCTAGTAGATTTTGAAGAGGTAAATTTAGGCCTAACAAATGTTTATGCAGCAGATAAGGTTATAGAACTTGTCGTTTAAGAGATAGCAGAGGCTGAAAATAGAGAGCAGTTCCTAGAATAGTAAGGTTTATCAGAAAAATGAGTTGATTGAACTAATCCTTAAGCACCCCTTTGCATGATGGGTTCCTTGGTGCCGCTGACTTGAGTAAGGCTACTATGTTAGATGGATAAGGGAGGGAAGTTAGTCTTGCCATTGTTTTCTTTCTTCTCTCCCCCAGGGTGGCCAGCCTGACTCTGAGAATTCCTGAGTGTCACTGAAAAGACTAGAAAAAATATCCCCAATTTTAATAAGCAATTATACTGAACAGAGCTAATATATACCTTCTTCATCCCTTTATCACTGCCATTCCTTTATTGCTTAACACTTTATGTACATTGTTAGTTGGTTTTCACGGTAACCGTTTGAAGTATATATTTTAAGGAGTGTCACCATTTTACAGATGAAGAAATTGAGGCTTAGAAGTAATAGTGAGTTACCCAAGATTCTGAAGTTAGTAAATAAATGACAAGGCCAAGATTCAAACTCTGGATTTTTGATATGAGGCATATTCATCCATTATACTATGATCACTTGTTAATTTGTGTGTGAATCTTAAGTTTCAATCTAACAAACAAGTGGCTATTATGTGAATATCACTGTGGTACTATGCATGTCAATACAATTGGTAACGTTTTCTTGCTTTTCCTCTATTATTGTCCCTCTTTTCCATGCTCTGTCTCTAATATTTGAATCAAACATATCTATTTTTCTCTCTCTCCTGGTTTTACACAGTAAACTTAAGTCCCTGCCTGAATTCTCAGACTTTGGTTGATGTCTCATGGAAGTCTTTCTGAAATCATGTGTGGGAGGCATTGATGTTCTTCTGATTCTTTTAGGAAGCTGCCCTCTTGGTTGCAGAGGGGTGGGGCTGTTTGACGTGTGATGTAGGCCAGCATAGTGAGATTTCTTTTAGTTCATAGTAATCTGAATAGCTCATAAAAGGAACAGGTGATATAGGCAATTAATTTAAGGTTAGCTTCCTTTATAATTTTGTACCAGATAAAACCTCAAACAGGATTTACCTAGCAAAGTAAGCAAAGCCAACAGGAAACCCCCTTTTAAATTTGTAATTCTGGGCAGGTTTCCCACTGTTACCCACAGCTCATCCAAGCTACCATAAAAGAGGCTAATTTTAACATTAGTCTGAACAAAGTATAATTATTAAGAAGGTGAATCGACTTTGAAAAGTCATCTAATGCATCATTCCCAAACTAAAAATGAGCAACCTTCTAGATTATCCGCTTGGATGGTGATTCACCTCCCAACCAGAGCCACCGCCATGAGCCAACGCCAGCACTCCACACACCCCTAACTGAATGAAATGGTATTTGTGGAGACTCCTTGACATTATCCTTTATTCTGCTGTATGTATTCAGAACCATTTCCCCACACTTTTTGGAGTGATGAATTTAAACTATTGGCTTTAGGACAGACTGGAAAGGTAAATTGCTTCCTAAGTCTTTGTCCTAGACTGAGAGACTGATCCATTGCTATGATCACTTTTTATGAAATTCATTTTTAAAGTGTTACCTTTTTTTTAAATACACATTCCTGTGTGTTTTTGTTTTTTTGTGTTTTTTTTTTGGGTTGGGCAATGGGGGTTAAGTGACTTGCCCAGGGTCACACAGCTATTAAGTGTTATGTGTCTGAGGCCACATTTGAACTCAGGTCCTCCTGAATCCAGGGCCAGTGCTGCACCACCTAGCTGCCCCCTCTATTTTTTTTTAACGATCACATTGCCCCCATTCTTTGCTTGCAAAAATTTTAAGTGGTGACCTTACCTGTATTGCCCACAATGATGGGTTCTGTCCCTAGTTGACGTAGTTCAGAATATTATCTATCCATTGAATGGGAGAGCAGTCCCTGATTTCCAGGTTTTGTTTCCTGTTTGCTTCCATTTTCTGCACCTTGTTAGTGTAGGCCTCCCATACTTCAAGACTTGGTGTTACAGGTGTGGGTGTTTCTCGTGCCAGTCCATATCACAACCTTTCCCATGCCTTAGTGGAGGCGGGTACTGGAGCTGCTGTGACTTTGAAAATCCTTTAGTTTTTACTCAGCCCTCTGGTCAGTTTGGCCAGTATAGTCCTCCAGCACAGGCATCCACTGATTGCTGACCCATGTCCTAAGCCTTGCCAGCTGAGATAGGTCCTGCCAGAGCTTGTGTTTTGGAGGCTTAGTCTTCAAAAAGCCACGTTTACGCCTCCACTGCTTGATGAGGGAAAGGAGAACAGTAGGGAAGTTGGGAATATACATAAAGATGGATAAAGGGGTCCAATTGAAGCTTGAGGGTGGGTTTTTGTAATTTTAGAATGGTTATGGGACTAAGTTCTCGTCATGTCATTTCATTAGCTGGCTCTGGGTTCTACTTGATCGAACAAGTTGTCTTTGCATTGTGGCAAAACCATATCAAAGCAAGCAGGTTGAACCGCATTAAAAAGTTTTAGTACTTATCCCACTCAGGCCCTGGACATGTGTAATTGTATTGTTCATTGCCATCTTGCAGGAGTACTATGGCTAAGTTTTGCTGTTATTGTGTTATTTGTGTTGAAAATGCTAGTACTTTATAGAATTGAAATGAGTCTGTTTTAGTTAGCAGTTAAAACAACATCCTGACTTTGGGCCAAGTGACTGGTTCAGAAGTCATTGAAATGAACGAAAATTATAGTCCTTTAGGATTATTTGTTCAGATCAACCAGCATAATAGTTCTCATAGACAATGAAAAGTTTTATGAAAACACTCTTATTCTGTGAACAAAAGTAATGTTTCACTAAATGCGGTCTCTGAACAAGCCAGCTGGATTAGCCTGTCCC